TTAATGAAATAAGTTGGTATCGGTTCATGGTATCGGTTAACTTTTACGAGTATGAGTACACACACATTTTACAGTATCGGCCCCGATACCAGTATCGGTATTGGTGCATCCCTACTGCTAGTTATTAGTTTGTGCTTGGTCCAGTTTGGTTACGATGAGCTCCAGAAACACAGGATTTCTGCCTTTCCACAAGAAAAAATTGCTTTGCTTCTTAAACTTGAGCTGTGCACGGCACATGAAATAGCACAGGCAATAAAAACCGGCAGAGAAACAAGGGGTCACCTTTGTTCTGGTGGGCGCTTTCCTCTCTCCTCCTCTCCAGCTCCTTGCGATCGTAATTTAGACGCTTCAGGCACATGATGCCGTAATGCAAGCTGACCCTGGGAGAGGGCAAAGAGCCAGAGGGTCAGGGGTTCAAGCAGGTTAACCGAGGAGGGCGTGTTTCCACTCTCACATGTGCTCAGAAAGCATTAACAACCCAGCACGTCTGACCCTTTCAGTCCTTCAAAAGAGAACTCAGAGAAGGCCTGGAGACACACAACTGAGCTGTCAGAGTGCCATAACCATTGTGCTTTGTAAACACGAGACGTGACAAAAGAGCATGAGTTACGAAGCCGAGCTCTACCTGTGGAAGCTGTCCACCATCTTGAGCTGTCCTCGCAGCTCTTTCTTGGTCAGGTGGTCCAGCATGCGAGCATCCACCAGGGACTCCATGAAATAGCTCCGATACTGTGGCAAGCCCAGGCTGGGCAGCCACTCGTTGCCCACCCACTCATGATTCATATCGCCATAGGCCAGTATCTGGAGGGGACAACCACAGATGAGCAACGCTGATTCACGCTCGGCCTCGTATCTGATGGCGCTGCGAATGACTCACTGCTGCTAGAGATGAAATGAGTGACAAACACGCAGCGTGTTGTGCGAACTTTTTTTCAAAAAGGCGCCGCTGATCCCTTACCTGATCCCAGCTGAACTCTTTCAGCTCCTGCAGAGAGAAGAGAAGAGGAAGACGAAGAGAGACAGAGCCAGAGAGAGTGATGTGGAGGTGGTGAGGGAGAGGGGTGCGGAGGTGAAGAGCAAGGTGGACGAATGGGTAGATAGTGAAGGAGCAGCAGAGGAGGAAGCAGCAACAGCAGCAGCGGGAGAAGAGGACAAAAGGGAGGAACAGTGTGTTAGTGAACGGGTAATTAGTTGGAAGCAGTTCACACTGAAACGGCAACAACAGGGAGAGAAGAAGATGCTCAACACTATGGCCTGGGCCCACAGAGAGACAGAAGTACAAAAAAGAAGTACAAGGAGAGAGAGGAGAAGGGAGGGGAGAGACTCATCAACGTGATTCAGACCGGACGAGACGCTCAACATTATTCAAAATAAATAAAATAAAATAACCATAAAAGGGCAGTTTGTCAGACAGAGACAGGACGGCTGGGGCACTAACCGGGGGCTTGGTGGCGGCGTTCAGAGACTCCATCTCTGCGTGGGTCATCCACACGTTACTGGTCGACTGCAGTTATGTGAACAAAAGAAGCGAAGCAGTGAGATAAAAGATTACAAAAATCGCACACACACACACCACACTTCACTGCCTGTCTACAGCAATGAGTCAACACTCGAACATTTTCGCGATGCCAAAACAGCCACATCAAAAGATGTCGGCCGACCACAACAGAAGACTCATCGCCATGGTGATTTCCACGAACAAGAGGTCCGACGGGCTTATGTGAACCGATAACTAATGAATCTGCTCAGGCTGTTGGGCAAAATTGCACGATTGATCATCTTCCGCATTTCACCGTGTCGTTAATATGATTTCTACTGTGAATAGAGACGAAGCCAAACGCAGAAACGGGAAAGCCAAGAAAAACCAAAATCTGCCATTTGTTAAAAGCTCCAAAGCAGACGCCTTAAAGAAGATGGCTTTGAGCTATTTTTCACTCTATCTTGCTTGAGGAAGCGGAGGAAAAAACAGTGCCACAAATGCATGTGCGTGCAGCACTTTTACTACATTTTTCAACATCTGGTTTGTCTTTGTTTCCCGAGGGAGAGAGCAACGTTTTTGTTGCCAATGTTTTCCAGATGACAAAGGTGAACCCCGTCACTCCCAGCAGAGCCTATTTCCATTCATATCTTTATCATTTTGGACATTTATTACGTGTAGAATAGGCTTCATGTTTGTTAGCATTCATTTTTATCTGTTTTCTTTCTTTCTCTTTCTAATCCTACATGTCATGTGCCCCAACAGGCTATTTCTATTACATCATTCCTTATTAATATCATATATTCCAGGTCACATTTTAATTTTATGACTAGCGACTGTGACATTTGGCGCTAATTATGTGGCCTTCGCAGAGACTATAATCTGATAATTTGTGCCAGTCTCTAAACAACAAACATCTGGCTCAACGTTTACCTCAGACTTTAAATATGGATGCGGCAAGGCGCAAAAAGTCTATACGCAGCAGAAAGATAGATATCAGTCCCAAATGAATACATAAATCGACATATGAAGGCGTTTAAGGTCTTAGTGTGCTCCAATTAAAGGCTTCTTTACCTTTAATTCTAGGGGGAAGCTGTCTAGACTGGGATCTGTTTATCATGAGAAAATATTCCTTCTTTAAGGTAAATGAGAGTTTAAAAATGGGGCTTATAATTTTGGAGGACCCCCTACAAGATCGAACATTTTCCAATGACCCACTCATAATCCTAGATATTAGGCACATACATCTGCAGTTTCATAAGCCATTGGCCCTAACTGGATTCAAAAACCCACAGCCTAAACGACTCCCATCTGTAGATATTACCAAGTTTTATGGAAGTTCTGCAAAAATGAACAAAATCCAATCTATTTATCCGTCATGCTGGGCGGAAAAAGTCTAATTCTCGGAGGAAGCAGGAGGCATAAGTAATTTCACCTCTCACACCACCGTTCATGTTCCTGCTGTATGTTTCTTTTGCTTTTCATTTGCACGTTCATTCATCGTTTGGTTGCATTTAGGTGACCAACATCACTCGGATATGTTTGATCACCGTTTGGGTTAAAGCGCAAAGTTGCGGCTTTGTGAAGCTCTGTTTTTTTGGTTACTATGGTGATGTACTTACTCTGTAAACATATGTGGTGCAGACATGAAACATATTTTGAAATGAACTACGTCCGTTTCAAAGCTGTGCTGACGGCGTGGAAAAAAGGGCTTGGGTTTTTCTGACTATTTCATATAGTGCCATGAGGTAGATGTGCATTTTTTATGTACATTTTATAATTTATAGCTAATAATTTTGTGCTCCCCTTGGCTATGGACTTGTTAAATGTATGTGCAGTTTCAGAGTCTCACAGAGCGAGTGCTGGCTGGGGCAGATGGGCTGGTGAGGGACACCATCTCCTGGATGGCCAGCCGCAGTTTGAGGCGGTGCAGCGGGTTGCTGATGCCGATCTCCCTCTGGATCTCCGTGTCGGACAGGTTGGCCATGATCGCGCCGCTCTTCACGTTGGCGCGGCATGCGGCGACGTACCAAGCTGGCATTCCCACCCACAGCTGAAAGGAGGCAAGGAGTGGATCAAATCAAGATGAAAGTTTCATTTAGATCTCAGTTCTATGATCACCTACCTCTAACCACGACACAACAGTAGGTCCATCCCAAGATGCAAAGGGAAGTCCTTGGCGACATGCTTCTTCCAGCAGCTCATGCCTGATAAGAGATTTAACAGAGAGATTTCTTATTTGGTGCTGTCCGATTAAAAGATCAAAATATGAAACGCACAGCATATAATTCACTGACTTCTTCTTGCTGCGGCGGTCTTTATCTGCTGGACCAAGAGTTCCCGTCTTATTCATTCCCATTGGGTCTCCAGATGCCAGGTCTTCAGAGGGTGTAGATGCTGGGAAACACACAGTGATGTCAAAGATTGCAAGAACTAGATAAGAACACTTTTTTGGCTCCGAATTCGCCGAGCCAATAAAGTGTTTAGATGTAAATGCTGACAGCATGGATTACTCAAGCTCAGTCAGTCCCCCCCTTATCTTTTATCAGTTTACCAAGAGAAACAGATCCATCCCGTCCAGGTTGGCCCATCCTTCCTTTTTCCTTCTTCCCAAAAAGCCGGCCGATGGAAGACTTGATGCTTTTCTTCTTGCTGGCCTTGTGGAGTGAATCTTGGCTGCTGTTGGTGCTGCTGCCATCTGCCGAGAGACTGCAGGAGAGACAAAGAAAGTAACTAAAGTTGGAAAAACAAATACACATTGAAAGCATCACGCTTGAATGCGCAGCCGTCTTACCTGCGAAACTCTCTGGGGTCATCGAGCATCGCTCCCGGATGGGTGAGGGCCATCCTGTCCAATCGCAGCGCACGAGGAGTGGGAGGAGGTGTGGAGTCGAGAAGAGCGAGGGATCGGTCATCATCTTTGCTGTTCTGGAATATAAAATGTAAACTGTATAATTTGCAGTAGATGCAAACACAAAAATCA